TGATGTTCTGATAGGACATCAGAACACCTGAAACTAGTTACCAAAGGGTTGGGATCTACCATGTTGGGGCTAAGAACAAAACAGTGTCCTATGAAACAGTAAGAGCTCATAATCAGTGAACTATCTCTCCAGGTGCCAGCGGAGATTATTTCCGTGTTTTCCTCTTATAGCCCCTAGTTTCTTTCTTTCTTTTTTTTTTTTTTAAATTTAACTACTCCGTTCATCTGGGACTTTTTTGAGATGAAGTAGTACATGTTTATTTATCCTTATTTAATATGCTTACCAAATTATAGCAATAGATTTTAATGTTATTTTCTCTGTTAAATATCATTCATTTCCTATGCAAGAGTAGATATCTAAAACTACACATATCTAATTGTGCTCCAGTTATTTGTGTTTCTGTATGTACCTCTGTCACATTGATTTACTATATTTGATTTATAGTATATGTACTCATGTGAGTGTGCTCTATACACATAAAGGCCCAAGGTCAATAGTGAATGTCTTCCATGATTGCTCTCCAAAGAACTTTATTTTAACTTGGGAGACAATTTTCTCATTTACCCCAGAGCTCAATAATTTAGCTAGAGAGGCTGTTCCCCAAGACCTATGAATCCACTGTTTCTGTTTCCCCAGTGTTAGTATAGTAGACATATAGAAATTACCCCTGACTACTCAAAGAAACTAGGGATCAAACCTAGTCCTCAGGAGTATTTCATCAACTGAGCCATCTCCCAAAACTCTATCACTCTATTTTAAATATTTGCATTTTTTTCAATTGCTAATTGCTGGTATAGATTAATAATTTGGTCATCTTTCATGAGCACATTTACTAAAATTTAAATAGATTCATTTTTTAAATTGTCACCATGAGTTTTTATATTATCTCCCAATATAGACAATTGCTCTGTTCTGTTCTAGAAAGGCTATTAGCCTTAACATCCTTGCACACTATTTTATTTACTTGCTACATCCCCATTGCAAACTATATTTAAGTAATTTTATAATCTTTCATAATAAGTCCAGTTGGTTTTTAATTTATGCAATCTTTCTATGGTATTTAAAAGCCCCCCTCACATTTGCAGTAATCTTTGAGTTAAGTCAGGAGATGTCTCACAGCAGAGGTTAGTCTTTGCCTACTTGAAGTCTACATGCTACTCTCCTGAAAGATACTGATCTTACAAACTGTGCATCTCTGCTTTCCCTATGTAGTCCTTAAATAGTGATGTGGAGTGCAGAGGGGCAAACATAAGCTTGCTAGTAACCAAAGGCCCCCATGCCAGTCTAGTTCCACATTTTATGACTGATCTTCACAAATGCTGGCTCAAACTGAATGGAGTACATGCAAACAACCAGAAGGAAAAAATGGCATGTCTAGAATTTTTATACCAAATATTGTTCAGCCCTTGGAATTCCACTTCATATGCTTCAGGCATAAAAAGTACTAAATTCTTAAAATCTCCAATTGCACTTAAGATTTCTCATAGTACTGTTAAGAATTTACTGATGCTGGTGCATGTGTTTCTGCCTGTGTGTATTTCAGATTGTGATTAATATCAGACATTTTTCTTCAATTTCTTGGAATAGAATGTTAGAAATAAGTTACAAAGACAGAGAACACCGTACAAACTCCATTCTAGCTAAAGTTTCTGAAAAAGGCAAACTTTACTAGTGATCAAGAATGTGTGCTCTGGGAAAGGGAACACTAACTGAGACAAGAAATACACACATACATGCTCACATACACATACAAACACATACTTATCCACACATGCATGCATATACACATACATACATATATACACAAACATATACACGCATAGAGACATACATGTACACTATACACTTAATAGTTGTAGCCCTAAGTATGTTAAAAATTCATACCCCTGGAAGTTGTTCACAAAATTAATTTTGAATTGCCATTATGATTTTCAATTCATGAAAATATTCTGCTTGATAGACCCTAAAATTAAGTGTTAATGACTAAGCACTGGTGGAAGTCATTTAATTTAACCTTCCCAAAAATCCCTGGAAATCAAACCAAATATCAAATATTTTAAGAATTTTCTATGTGGCTAAAGTTTTTCAGGTGTATGTCCTAAAATGTTTATGTATCAAAACTTTGTTAGAGTCCCTTAAAGAGTTCAGAAAATTCAACTTCAAGGATTAAACAAACTGAATAACATTACCAAGGTAGAAAGTCAAACAGTAGATATGACTACTCCTTTCTGTTGCTGCGTAGCCTCAACATGAGATCTACTTGTGCATAGCTGAATGAATGTTCCTATCCACATTCATTAGGGGACACAATATGTTCAAAATGCCTCAGAAAATACTTTGGCCTTTTATGGTCATACAGTGCACCTACTATTCGGTGTAGAAAAGTCATCTTTGTAAAAATTTATATAAATGAAAATATATTTTTGAGTATAAGGACTTACAGAATAGTTTATTTCCAATGTGATTTTCAGTAGACAGTTAACACAGTGCCCAGTGTGATCCACCAAGCAGGGTAAATCTAAGGTCAGCTTTATAAGGTTGTCTGGCAGGAACCAAACATAAAACATAGTAATGAGATGAACCAGGTCTACTTGCAGCAGCTGTTTATACTGACCATTCCTCTGAAATCATGGCTTAGTTTGCCTCCAAAACCAACTTTTTTTTTTTTCCGCAGCAACTCTGATTCCCAGTTTCAAATTTGAGTACCATCATGAATGGAAATTCTTGCTTATGTTGAACCCCTATTTTTCCAAGCATAATAATTCAACTATGTGCTTATCAGTATTTTGAAGCATTGTGAAATCCTAGAATATAACTGTAAACATAACTCTTAAAAGATTTGTAATTGATGAAAACATTGCTGATGTTTAATTGCAGGTATTTACTTAATAAAGACAATTCAAGTGAGGTGATAGGATGTTTAAAAACTGGGTTTCTGCAGTCACAGAATATATACCCTGATCATGTTAAATACTGAAGAAAACGTGAACCTTTTAAAAACAATTTCTAATAATTTGAAGAAAAATGAATTCAGATTTTTATTGTATAATTCTGCTACACTTTTCCCATTTCGGCTTTAGAAAATTACTGTATAGCTCATCAGCCAAATTTCTAGCTGAGATAATTTGGCTGTCTACAAGAGGCGTAAACAAGATAATTGAAATGAGATAAAACATAATTGAAAAAGAAATTCTCAGAAGTATGAAATGTGGTTTTTAAAAAAGGCAGGCTTCCAAAATGTGAGGAAATATAATTCAAAGTGCCCACTGTTTATGTTTCATGTATGGGGAAGGTTCAGGCTCTGAAGACACCCCAGAGTTAAACAAGAAGAGGAAAAGGGTTCATAGGCAAATTTGTTGCATAGCAACATGCAGATTTACTAACATAATTAAAAAGTCTACCAGGGGTTACCTACTATAAAGCACACAGTAAAAGCACAACATCCAACCATCAGAGGACTGAAATAAATGTACATAAATACTAAGTGTAGTAAGTACAATTTACATTGGGGACTGTGTTCATTTTATGAGCCTGGGAACAAGAATGGAGCCATACTTTCAGCTTTTGAATCTATAATGTGATGCCTGACACAAAATGAGAGAAACAAAATTGAATGTATGCATCAATCCACGATCTTAAGATCTAGATTATATGAGGACTCTCAAAGATGGAGCAGCTCTCTGCTCAGCACAGTGAAGCAGGGACTAACATATATATATATATATATATATATATATATATATATATATATATATATATATATATATATATATATATATATATATATATATATATATATATATATATATATATAAAGCTCAGGCATTCTCTATACACAGTAAGGCTGAGCCTTGCAGAATTTGGCACTAGTAGCATGAATTTCAGAGACTTGGGAGATATTGAGCCATTGAGGAACTAGGTTTTAGTGCCTCTGGCATCTTCTTTTGCACCTTCTATTATTTAAATGCTGATCTCAAAGGCACTTCGGACCATGAAAAAGCCTGTTCACAAGCTTCTGAGGATTGATAACTGTTTTTCTGGGGAAAAATGTTGCTCAATAGTAACTAGTATAAATGTAAAAGACATTTAAATCACTCAGTTTGTACTGATAGAGAGGATAGGGCTTTACAACAATTTATCTAAAACAGTAACTTTCTTAGAAGTATATATATATATGTGAATATGATGAAGGCAAATGGAATATAAAGTTTGATGTTTATTCTGTGTGGATAAAGCATGTTTCCATTATACAATTTAATTAATTATTGTACAGTAAGAGTAAAAAGAATTTTCTGTTTGAATGACAGAATAATACTTTTAGAATGTAGCTATGCATGATTTCTGTAGCAAACATAGATGTACAATGGAGATAATAGGTCAATTATAAAGTTGCCCTGTGATGAAAGGAAGACAAAGGCAACTGTTTGTTGAATATACAAGGCTACCCCATCCTTTGACATTTTACACACCGTAGCAGAGATGAAAGGAGAAAGAGCCAGAAATCAAAGATACTTGTTATTGTTTCTGGCATTATTTCTGTTTTTAGCTTTTGCCTTCTAAGATTCAACATTTCTGTGTGCTATGTTTCATTTTTAATGGAAACTCTAGAGTCCTCTATCAGAGAGATACACTAACAGTCATATTAACATTAGAGTTTCATATTGATAACACAGAATTACTTTAACGAAGAGTTGTGTCTCCATCACTGAGTTCATGAAGGCATACCTACATAGTATAGCCAAACAAAGACTTTCTGGTCTTACATTTTAGTGGGATATTCGGCATGTAATAAATCTGTATAGTCTATCATTAGAATATATTTTGATTTAAACTTTGTATATCAGGTTGATATAATTGCATTAAAATACTGAATATTGATTAGCACTTCATATAAAGTGCTAATATAATAAGTTAAATTACATTCCCAAAATCAATATTGCCCATATTGCATCTGTGAAAGCAATGAAAGGAATTTTCATTGACTATGTTTGTCTCCTTAGATAAATTTGCAAAGAAAAATGAGAGTTACTGGTGTTATTACCCAAGGAGCAAAAAGGATTGGAAGCCCAGAATACATAAAATCCTACAAAATTGCCTATAGTAACGATGGGAAGACCTGGACAATGTACAAAGTGAAAGGCACCAATGAAGAAATGGTAAGACTAACTCATCCTGTGGAATTTAATTAAAATTCCATGATGACAACATGTTATCATGTGATGTCTGAGGCTTCTGCTAGAGGCTTGTGTTAAAATACATTTCTGCAGTTTTTCGGATTAATTGGGTAAAGGGAGTAGGGCTTTCCTACGTTAGGAATTTCTAACAGCTTCCATTTAAGATTTTGCCAGATTTTAATTGATGTTCCTATAAATAATTGTCAAAAAGTTAGCAAAGTGCTGCGAATAACAAGTGAGCTGCTTTAAGGAAAACCAGCGTGTCAATCCATTCTTCTTGCTTGCACAATGAGCCTTTTCCTCAGTCAAATAATTTACTATTTTAAAAACAAGAGCACTGAATGATAGAAAGGAAGTATACCTGTGGGTATTTTGCAGTTTGGAAATGTATCTGTTACTGAGCAGAAGAAAAATGTGAAAGAAATGAGTATGGCATCTAATATCTCCTTTTCGTTTGGTGTTCAGAACTTCAAGCAAAACTAATTCATTTTGAAATAGCCTTAAAAGTCTGGTTAAGAACAAAGAAATGGTGCTTACCAGAAAAGTCTACTCATTTGCAAGTGGACAGACTCAGACTAACTTAAAGGATTTAGGGTGATAATTTTTAAGAGAGACATGATAGACAGACAGAAAAGGTAGATGATATAGATGATAGACAGATGACATAGGATCATATATGTATATAAATGTATGGAGAGGAAGATAAAGGGAGATAAAGAGAGAGACAGAGACAGGGAGAATGACTTCCTCTGGCTCTGCAGTCCTGGCCTTTGAAGTGGTTGAGGAGCTGGAAAGATATCTCAGAGGTTCAGAGCACTTACAGCTCTTGTGGAGGACCCTAGTTAGGTTCCCAACACCTAGACTGTGACTTACAACAATCTACTTAACTACAGTTTTAAGGGGTCTGATGTCTTTGTCTAACCTTGGTGGGTACAACACACAAACATTATGCATATACGTACATGCAGGCAAAATGCTCAAACACATAAAATTAAATAAATTAATCCTTATAAAAATTTAAAAATTAGTCAGGGAAGTATGATTATGTCACAGTACAGAGTGTTTTTCCGTTTTAATTCAGATTTGTAAGTGACTTTTTATTTGCTGTTGATGGCAAGGTGCTTCGTAAATTCTCAATAATATTTATTATAATCTTTGAGGAATTGTGTTGAGCTTGAGTATTGTCACATGTATGAAAATAAAGAAGCTATTGCAAATGTATATGTATACACACATACAGGCACACACACATTCACAGACACACATATGTACATATACACATATATGTGTACATATATAGGTAAGGGTCTCACTCTGTAGCCCAGGTTGACTTTGAACTCATGGCGATCCCCCTGTCTCATGGTTATTCTGCTTTCTCAACTTCCTTAATACTGTATTTCAGGCATGAGCCATCATGCCCAGCTTTTAAAATACTGTATGTCTTTACACAGGTGTTCCGTGGAAATGTTGATAACAACACACCCTATGCTAACTCTTTCACGCCCCCTATAAAAGCTCAATATGTCAGGCTGTATCCCCAAATTTGTCGAAGGCACTGTACTTTAAGGATGGAGCTCCTTGGCTGTGAGCTTTCAGGTAAGTCTCCTGTTTTCTATCATGGGACTGTCTTTAATGAGAACAGAAAGCATCTCAGTATATGCTTATCTACTAATCTCTAGGTTTTCAGCAATCGAAGATATTTATTTCTTCCACCAAATATGTAGGGCATGGTTCAATGCAAAAATACATGCTGTTTATGTGTCAAATAAACTTGTAAACCACGCTACAGAAACAGTAGAGTCAAGTAATCAAATAGAATACCAGAAATTCTCAAGAGAAGCTGTTGTCAAAAGATGTGTCCCATTGATTTTGGTTGTAAATATGATTTATGTTTGGAGATGATTGAAAGTACAATCTGCTTGACCTCATAAATTGTGCAAATTTAGGTTGTAAGTTCCAAAGAAAGTAAGTTTTATCTTTAAACTCAGTGCTTTCTTTTTAGGTTCTATGAAACATGTAAATTTATCATCCCTCCCTAGGGAACAATACTTCAACACCAAGAGTACTACTATAAATTCATTCTTGGAGCATTTTCATCCAGCAACCTGCTTATTATATAAGCCATGGTTATCTAGCTCAAGGGTAATCCATTAAAGAACATAGAGTTAAATAATTCTCCTACAGGATCATCAGAACAAGATACAAACAAAAAACATTGTATAGTTATATTTGTAACTATATTCTAAATTAAATAGAACATCACATCTGCTTATTCACTCAATTATGTTTTAGAAGGCAGTTACTGTATTTCATGCAAATAAACTTAACCTATCTTTGTCAAAGTGACAAAAGATTTCTTTTGCTCAAACAACTGTGAATAAATTGGAAAGTTCACTTGTGTCATGTTTCAACATAACCTCCAAAACAGGGAAACCTCTTACCAAATTTGAAAGAATACTGCCTTTATAAAAATTAGTTAGTTCTTTGAAATTTTCATATGTATGTTTAATTCATGTTTATTACTCTCTCCCACCATCACATAAACCCTCCACCCCCATGAACTGGCCTTTCTCCCTACCTGACCCTTACTAGAATCCTTTCCCGGAGGAGAAAACTGAAGCAAATAGAAGAGGGTATTTAAAAACAGCATTCTTTGCCAGTCCATTCATTGGAAGAAATTAAAGTAAATTCGCTGTATGAGTGAACCTCCTTTAGGGAATGCATGTGCATAATCTATATCAGTGTTGTTGTTTATAGAGAAATGTTTTCACTGCAATTTATTATCTTAACAGAGATATACTTTTTAATTATTTGGACAAGATTATTGATTGTTACTAAATGTGAGCAGAATTATTGCTACAGCATGTTTGTATTGCCTGTCACTTTATCACCAGAGGCCAGTGTCATCCCTAAGCCATTCATCATAAAGCAATCAGGAGGAAGCCACAGGATGATGATGTTTGCAGCAAGCCCTGTGGTTTTTGTTGTTGTTGTTGTTGTTGCTTATCATCACCTTCCCTATTTCTTCAATCCTTTGATTCATGAGGACCAGCTTCTCATACATGACACACTTACACCCTCATAGCGTAAATATATTTTGCTTGCAAGCTTGACAAGAGGTGACAACTGTCACTTTACAGACTCTAATTCTGAAAAGGAAGTAGTGCTCTCACTCCCAATCCTACTAATTGATTTTAATCTTTGGTGCAGAGAGCAGTATCTTTTGCGGACTGGTTTTAAAGACTGGAAAGTGTTTCACCATAGAAATAATCGATGCTTTTATAATACTTTATTTTTTTAGGTTCTATTCATACTGGTAAAAGAGGTAATTAATTTGTATTCACAGAATCACATGAATGAGACAGGAAATTTGTGAGATATGAAGTCCATTGCAAAATAATTTAGCTGTGATTCTTGGAAATAAACATTGACACAAAGTTTTGTAATATTTCATGCAGTTGAGTGCCATGCTTTAAAGCCCAGTTCGGCCGTATTATTTTTTAACAGTCATAGATCTTCAACATTGCCTGGAAGCAGCCACTCTCTTTCCATACACTTGAAAAGAATATCTTTTAGATTATGTGAAAGATGACTTGGGATGTTTCAAAGGAAATATATCATAATCATAATTAGAAGACTAAAACTCATTCACCCGTTCTTTAATTAACAATTATTTTAAGGCATAATAATATAAAGCTTCTTTTCTTAGCTATGTACTAGAAATCAGAATGGATATGAAACTAATTTTGTGATTAAAAATAAATTATCAAAGGCATTTCTTATCTATCCAGTTTTCAGATATTTTATAAGAAAAGAAAAAAAGTCACCCTGTTTTTCTATGTCATTTCTTCTGCACACTAAACAAAATTTTACAGTGATTGGTCTCCAGCAGGGGCCAAGGGCATGCTGCAAATAAAAGAATTCAGAAGTCATGAAGACAGTGTGTACTACTATGGAATTGCCTGAAGACATATATCATGCCATTATGGCTATTAGAACTTTCTAGAATCTAAGAGCTCTGTTAGGATGATGAATTTTACCCTCAGAATTCATATTTTGGTTTTAGAGCTTCTTTACCATTGAAGAGATAGGTCTCCTCAGTAATATTCTGGCTAGGAAAACAGCTTTCCATGCCCTTGTTTCCATTCAGTGGAAGTAAAGATGGAGGAACAGACTACACAGAGGAGCTTCAGGAGGGAAGAAATTATTCAGATTGATTAGTTCAGATCGTAATTAGTTAAAGTCAACTACTATCAGTAGAATGTTCTATGCTTTGTTTCCTAGACGCTACACATAAAACAGTCTACACTGAGTAATGGTGCCTAGTTGTAGGATACTAAATTGCAGTCACTGAAATGCTGATACTTGTAGACTTAACACCTGCTGTCTGTTAGAATGAGTTTTATAGAAATGACTAAAGAGCTAATTTTTATTGAATGTTGATTGTCACAACAATATTTCTAAATATTTGGTATTTTATTAACTAATATCCTAAGATACACACTCAAGGTAGTTTCTATTGCAGTCTTCATTTTGGAGATTTGAACACTGAAAGGTAAGTTGAATGAATAATAGGTGAAGAGAAGACAAGTAGAGTATGAAGGAAGGGATTGCACTGGAGAAATTCACTCATTTTCCTTTTCCTTTTAACAAGCTAATTTATCTTAGTAGATCCTTGGCCAAGTCTTAATCACTGGACAATATAATGATAGACTCATGTCTCTTATTGAAATCTGGAAAGAATTTTTTAGCACGCCCACACGTGGACACAGCATTTTCAGTAATGTACAAACCAAAATTTCTTAGCATATCAAAATTGGAAATATATGTGATAAATTTGATAATCTTCCAAAATATGTAAACATAAAGTGTTATTTAGTTTGAGTATAGGAGTTTATGGAAATAATGGATGGTTTTAGTTAGTTTTTTATATTCTTGCTGTCTTATTCATTTTTCTAAATTCTATAGCTGTATGATGCCTTCTAGAAAAATCCATACTTGTGCCAAATTAATCAACTCTCATCCTTCCTGCACTTAAATGCTGAGTGAGGATGGCTAGAGTAGAAGGCCAACCTGGCTACAGTGTGAGAACCTCTCTCTTAATTGTAAGAGTAGTGCTTATTTCTTAGACAACATAACTCTGTCCAGTTTAGAATATTTGCTGTGGAGCAATTTACAAAAATGACTCTGTACTGGGGAAATTCCAAGGGCGATATTATGAAAACAAATAAAAGAAAACCAAATATACTTTATGAGAAAATGCCCCATCCTCCAAGACACAATAAAATTGTGGAAAACTAGGGAACAGTCACGAGGCTCCCAGTAATGAGGCAGAAGAGAGCATTTCGGCAATGTTTTCATTTTGCAAAATCATCTATCACAGAAAAGTATTCTGAATTGTCTCTCTTGTTTTCAATTTTTACAAAATGTATTCAGACAAAATAGCTTGAATTGGCTATCTTGTTTTTCTATTTTATTCCAGATTTATTTCTGATTATAGCTCCTGTTTTGAATTTTGATGTCCTCTCTTTGGGGGAATGAATAGTGTTGTGTTCAATCTTCTCTTGCCTTTCAGAAATAAACATAGAAAAGTTCCAAGATGATCAATTGCTTTCTTCATGGAGTTCTTCTCCTTCTACCAGGTTGTTCAGAACCTTTGGGGATGAAATCAGGGCATATACAAGACTACCAGATCACTGCCTCCAGCGTCTTCAGAACACTCAACATGGACATGTTCACATGGGAACCAAGGAAAGCCCGGCTGGACAAGCAAGGCAAAGTAAATGCCTGGACCTCCGGCCACAATGACCAGTCACAGTGGTTGCAGGTAATGACTTTCAAGTATTTCACCACCTACCAATCCTGTGCTGTAAAGGCTTTCCTAATGGCTAGCTGAATTATTTTACACTGCTTTAAATACACTTTCACATTTACCTTTTCCAAGACATGAAAGCAGAAATAACCTATGAAATAACATTTCTGGCCTGTATTGATACAAAGATGCAGCCCATGGACAAGCTGGCTGGGTAAAATGTACCAGAGTACACTGTATACCCCTGATTAGATTTGTAGCTCACCTGATCAAATTTGAGACAATCTGCTTGCCAAGTTTTATCTCTTCATATGCTTTTTATTTTATTTAATATTGACAATTAACATCAGTATCTGAAAACACTGGAGTCATGCCACAGACCTGCATGGAGTCTCAGAGTGCCATGACTCATGTCACAGCATCTCTTTACCTGTGGTTGCAAAACAATGCAATGATTTGATTACACTCTCCTTGTACAACTAACTTATGAAAGAAATGAGGATTCTACAGAGTCTGTTGGTCACTTACAATGAAAGTAAGATTATATCTGGTTCTTTCAAAAAATAGTCCTCTTGAAATACATTTATTTATGAGATATCTTTATGCATACATAGTTTTGTTACTGTCTCCTGTGGCAACAATCCTATGATGGCTCAATTTCATAATGAGGTTAGTTTCTTTCATATGCATGAGCTCCACTTGGATTTTACATTTTATTATTGAGTTTAAAAACCTGTGATAAACCATGGTATGTCTATACACCATGAAAACACTTAAAACCCCAAATGGCTAACCCTTACTGAGTCATATTTGTCATTACTAAGGTCATCAGAAATTTCCAATAATCCTTTTAAGTTTTGCCACTGGGTTTTACAATATTATATTCCCAGAATTAGAAATAGTCAATTGTTTTTTATAGCTGCTTTAAATTTTACTTGACCCTTTTATTTCACTTACAAACACCACAGGTATTTATATAAGTTTCTATAAGTTTCTCTTATATTTTTTTAAAGCAGGAGTGGTTTGATGCGTATCACTATGTCATCCAACCTGCTGTTCTTATCTAGCCTGTAGCACTGCTCATTGCATTAAATCATCCATGTAACAAGTTATTATGTGTCATACACCCCTGAAGCATCACAGGTGCTCAAGTGCCAGTCTTCTTCATGCTCTGAGGACTGTGCTTGTCTTAGAGTTCATCTTTAAATTGACTAACATGACACCAAAATTTGTTTTCCTCTTTGCAGAATTTGCTAAGTGTTCTCTCCTAATACCACTCCTTCAGCTACTAGTTATTGTCTCACTAATATGTCTGTCATACCAACTTCACAGGCTTGGATTAACTGATTTACCAAGTACCAGTGATTTTAGCCACTAGAATGGAGATCAGAGTATCTTGAAATTATTACCATTCTTACAATCCTACTGTCACTTCCTGATTGGAACTTCCACCCCTATTTCTTCAATTCATCCTGAAGTTCATTAACTATCTTCTTAGTTACTATTCCTATGGTTTAAAAATATTCTGTTTCTCTAATCGTAAGTGTTGAGCATGAGTGGGAGGCATGTTCATGTGTGTATGCTAAAATGCAAATACAGTTTTCTTTCACTCTTGCTGAAATTTTTTTCAGTTGCTATCTCTAGGCCTGATAATAAAACATAAATTGCTAATACAGCCTAAAAATCATTCTGATTTGTTCTCATTCATCTTTTACCACACATTTTAATTTCCTCAAACTTAACACCATCTGTCTCTAGCTGTTTTGTTATAAATTCACTCTTCCTAGAGAAAAAGAGAAAGCATTATCTTCTGACACTAGATCCTTCAGCTTAACTTTGGATGTTGATTTCTGTGCAAAGGATTGGCTGTTAGCTATGCCCTACCAGTATCTGACCCAGGATCTCTACTACATTTACGAGTCTCACATTATCATGGATGATGATGCCTTCCAAGATGCCCTTGGAGGCCTGAAAACATAGATTACACTGAATCATATAGAGATGATGTTTTTCCCCCAATATGCTTTGTGGTTCTGTCAATTTGTAAGGAACTAAATCTAATCCATCTTTGTTTTAGGCTTTGGTAGCTCCTTTTCATTGTTACTCTTGTGTTTGTCTGAAATTTAGAAGTAAAGTAAAACTTGAACAAAATCACTTCAGCATAGTGATAGGTTATATAATCAACATGTTTGTTTAATGACAAATGGGAAGGTAGCATATTCAGCTTAGATACACTGAGCAATGAGATGATTCGTACATTGGGCAGAACAGAGTGTGGCAGCTCAACATTCCATGGCAACACTCAGAAAGGATTGCTATTTAAGACTTGGAATTTCTGCTATATGCTTTCAAATTAAATTGGTTATCAGTAACTAGAATATGAAGAAGTTAAACCATAGAAAATAAGGCTGCTATTTTTCCATGCTTCAGCAAACATAAAGCTTTTCAGTAGTAAAATAAATCAATTTTGAAATTATTATCCTTTGCTAGATTGTTAGCTTCAAAATGTCTGGTATATTGGAATGGCTGTCTGTTTACTTTCTCAGATTGTACTCCAGTACCTAATCAAATTTATAATCAATACCAACATGTAGGAGATACTTCATAATGACTTATTGCATAGTTAGAATTAATTCAAGTGAAACTCAAGTAATGCACTTTGTTCTACACAGTATATAACTGATATTTAGTATAAAAAGACAATT